CATCAAGATATATTCTGCCAAGCAGGCAATGGTTTGGGCTCATTGTGGTTCCTCTGTCTGTGTTTCCTATACTGTGGGAAGCCAAGCTAGCAGTTAGCTCAAAGGACAGAAATCTTAACAAAGACTAAAGAGCAAGACTTGATTTTGAGGATGGGGTTGTAAACACATGGGCATTGGGTTGCAGGATCTCCACTTTCCTATCTATTTTTAGGGGTTGTCTTTACCAACTATGTCTAGTACGGAGGGAGTTCAGCAAATCTAAGAGCCTGACAGAAGATAGAGAACCTGACCCTCCTCTCCTTGTTCTTCTATTCTGCCTCAAGGGGTTTGTTAAATGCTTCAAAGAAGGAGAAAACAAGACAGCATTACTAGCCACTGGGAGTAGCTCTGCTTTCTCCAAGCTCGTTAAGAGAATTAAAGGGCCTTGAGCATAGGGGTCTGTAGTTCCCTGTGATTAGGTTTGCAGACTTTCTTGAAAAGTAGAGAAAGTCTGATTTTTTTTAAAAAAAGCAGAAGTCTCCATACTTGGCAACTTTAAGACTTGTGAATTTCAACTCCTAGAATTGAATCCTTTGGAGCTCCTGGAGGAAAAGGGTACTTGCCAAGGGGCTGAAAAAGAGCTGATGTGATTCCAATCTTCAAAAAGAAGAAGAAGCAAAAAGTGGATCTAGGAAACTACAGACCAAGCAGCTGGACATCAATACCTGAGAAAATCCTGGGAAAGTTAATCAAGCAGCAAATTTCTGACAATCTAGAGATGAACAAGGCGAAAGCCAGCATGGGTTTGTTAAAAGCAGATCATGCCAAACAAATCTTATTGCCTTCTTCAATAAAGTGAATAAATTAGTGAATCAAGGAAACGCTGTGGATATAGTATACTTGGATTTCAGTAAGGCATTTGACAAAGCAGATTACAGCCTACATCTTGGTAAAATAGAACAATGTGAGATAGACAGTACCACCACCGGTTGGATTAGTGTGTGGTCCTTACCGGAACTATCTCTATATAAAGGGAAGAATGCAGTGGGGTACCTCAAGATTCTGTACTGGGGCCAGTACTCTTCAATATCTTCATAAGTGATCTAGATCAGCTCATCAAATTTACAGATGACACCAAGCTGGGGGGAATTGCTAACACTTTGGAACAGACTCAAAATTCAGAAGGACCTTGACAGACTTGAGTATTACACCCTATCCATTATGATAACAGTTCAGTGGTGAGAAAAGTACGGTCCTGGATTTAGGCAGGACCAAACAAATGCACAGGTATAGAATAGGGAATATCTGACCCAACAGTTATACATGAAAGAGGGATTTAGAGGTCCTGGGACACCACCACTTAAGTATGAGACAACAGGATGCTACAGCTGCCCCCCCCCCAAAAGCCAATGGCTACAACAGTAAATGGATAGCATCGAGATCATAAGTGATAGTACAGTACTGCTGCATATTGCACTGGTGAGGCTGCATATTGCACATGGAATACTTTGTCTAGTTCTGGTCACCACAATACGAAAATCATGCTGAGGCCCTAGAAAGAGTGCAGAGAAGAGCATCAAATGAAAGGGGTAAACCGTAGCGATGGATAGCTAAGGGGACTAAGTATGTTTAGCCTAGAAAAGAGAAGGTGTAGAGATGACAGGATAGTAGTCTTCCATTACCTGAAGGGCTGTCATAGGGAGATGTGGGTCAATTTGTTCTCTACAGTACCTGAGGGCAGGACAAGAAGGTTGGGTGAAGGTTGGACAGAGGGAGATCCAACCTGGAACTCAGGAGGAATTTGCTGACAGTGAGAGCAATTAATCAATGGAAAAGCTTGCCTCTCGAAGTCATGGGTGCTCCATTACTGGAGGTTTTCAAGAAAAGATCGGACTTCCATTTATCTGGAATGGTACAAGGATTCCTATATTGAGCAAAGGGTTGGAGTAGAAGACCTCCAAGGAGCTTTTCAGCCCTAAGATGCTATGATTCTGTATAAATACTGTCCCAGATCCAAAGAAAACCAGGCACACTAAAATTTCATTCAAGTTAATGGAACATAATTTAGCAGCTGCTCACTATTTCTAATGAGGTTAATGAAACTGACTATTTGGGTCTGAAGTACTAAATTACAGAGAAGCAGCCTTAAGAGTTGTTTCCCAACGGGGCCCAAAAAGACTAATCACCCTTGCTTCTTGGAAGTCTTTCTGTTAAATATTGGACAAGTATCCACTTGAGGATGGTCTAATACTAAGTGTCCCAATTCATTGGCAAATTTCTGTGCCTTCTTTCACAGAGGTTCCTCTATTTTTAACTTACTAAAAAACAGACAATATTAAATAAATTCAGATGCTATTTGAAAAAATATTATGCCTTTGAAGCACAGATAGAATCTGTTTAAGGAAAGAGCACCCTGGATGATAGATAGATAGATAGATAGATAGATAGATAGATAGATAGATAGATAGATAGATAGATAGATAGATAGATAGATAGATAGATAGACAGACAGACAGACAGACAGACAGACAGACAGACAGACAGACAGACAGACCGACAGACAGACAGACAGACAGACAGATATTATTCAGAATTTGCAAACATAACACAGCTCTGCAATTGATTGAAAAAGTAACATGTTTCCTAAGGCTTGAAAAAAGTTATCCCTGTTTTAATGAATAGCAGAGAGGAGCTGTTATATATATACAAATATATAGGAGGTCTCTGTGGGAGGGGTTAGCCCTGGTTAGTGCTCCAATTTTTGGTGTCTTCCTGGGAACTAAAACTAACATTCTTAGATAGATTATGACATTTTCATATGCAAACCTTAATATCACTGCATATATACACAGACTGGAGTGTACAACAGTTTCTAACAACTCAAAATAACAGAATAACAGAGTCGGAAGATACCTTGGAGGTCATCTAGTCCAGCCCCCTGCTCAGGCAGGAAACCCTATACCATTTCAGACAAATGGTTGTCCGGTCTCTTTTTAAAAACCTCCAGTATTGGAGCACCCACAACTTCTGAAGGCAATTAGTTCCACCGATTAATTGTTCTGTCGGGAAATTTCTCCTTAGTTCTAGGTTGCTTCTCTCTTTGATTAGTTTCCATCCATTGCTTTTTGTCCTGCCTTCAAGTGCTTTGGAGAATAGGCAGCCCCATAGATACTGAAAATCTGCTATCATATCACCCCTAATCCCTCTTTTCATTAAACTAGACATACCCAATTCCTGCAACCTATGTTCTTCCTGTGTTTTAGCTTCCAGTCCCAATCGTCTTTGTTGCTCTTCTCTGCCCTCTTTCCAGACTCTCAACATCTTTTTTAATATTGTAACGGCCAAAACTGGATGCAGTATTCCAAGTGTATTCTTACCAAGGCATTATAAAGTGGCATTAATAGTTCACATGATCTTGATTCTATCACTCTGTTAATGCAGTCTAGGACTGCCTTGGCTTTTTTGGCAACTGCAGCTCACTGCTGGCTCATATTTAAGTGATTGTCCACTAGGACTCCAAGATCCCTCTCACAGTTAATACTGTTGAGCCAGGTATCACCTAGTCTATTCCTGTGCATTTGTTTTTTCTTGCCTAAATGCAAAACCTTACTTTTCTCTACACTGAATTTCATTTACATAGGGCCCAGTGGTCAAGTCTTTTCAGATCATTCTGCATCTTGAGCCTATCTGCTGGAGTATTGGCTTTTCCTGCCAATTTGCAAATTTGATGAGTTCTCCCTCCAGCAAAAGCATCTGGTGTGTGCAATTAGCCTGGTACTTTTCTTCTCACATTTACTGGAGAAGTACCACAAAAAGTCTATGCCAGTTATTGTCCTTTTTTAATCTTACTGGATTTCTCCCCTTTAAAAACAAACACAAAACCCTATTTGTGCAAGCCTATCCTTTCAGTATATTTTGAACAGAAAGAAACTTCACAACTCTAACATTTGAGATTCTGTTATTATTGGCGACGTCTCTAAACTTTATTTGAATATTCAAGGCAACTCATTATAAACCAAAGGTATTCTACAAAAGGAAGTAATTGAAAAATGTAAAACCAGATCAATCCGCATTGTATGCATCTGTCTTATTTTTACACAGATATAAAAATATTTGGTCTAAAAACTTGCAGTTACAATTCTAAGTCCAGGAAATAAAGAAAGCACAAAATAACAAAACAAAACAGATTAAAAGCAATAAAAGAGAACCTGTGTAGATGTAAACTAGTGTTAGTGTGAAATATCATAGAGATAAGAACCTTCTTATCTACTGAATATGTATTATCATATTACTTGCCAACAGTTTCTTAAATAAGCAATTTAGTCAGTTATAAGCTCTTACTGGTGAACTTTGCATGTGCCCTTATTTGCTATAAGGATAAAGAGTTGCACGACCTAAAATGCAGAACAAGCAACTTCTTAAATCTTAACAAAATGAAAAGCTTGTGTTTAAATGCAAAACAGCTCTAACAAGAGGCAATTAATTCTGCTACTGACCTGTTCTTTTCCCACGAATGTCCTTTCTGATAGTATTTGTTTTCCAACCCAATGTACTGATTGGAATAAAAGCAACTGGCACCATCAGAGGAACACATCTTTGAAAGATGAAGGGTTAAATATATTCTCCTCCCACCTTTCCTTTTTTGCAAACTACTTTCACAGCCACAACTTAAACTCTTCTAAAAGGTGTAGCAGAAGCAAATACATACACGTTTTCTTTTCAGAAATATTTCCTCCTTCAGAATCAACCTCAGAACATTAAAACATACACTTTTTTTCCAAAAGCCTTTTTCTTGCTTCGTTCAGATCTCTAACCAAATTCTATCCTTGATGGATCCAAAATCCCTTAAGATTGGGGGAGGGGGGGGAATCACACATATCCTTGCCTTATAAAGAAGAAGTAACTGAAAGAACTGTAACAAATCCCCCCCCAAAAGACTTCAAAAGCCAATAAAGTAAATATAAAATTGGATCTCCAAAAGGCACTGCGGCTGGATACTCACAACTGTCTTCAGAGCTTACCTGTCATCCACACCGCTAATACAGATGATACGTTCTTGGCAAAAATAGTGTGTATAGCAGTTTTCTACTCTTTGGACTCTGCTAAGGGACTGGATGAGTTATGAAAGCTGCTCTCTGCAGAAACACACCCACTTCCATGACTCACAGGAGTTTCTGTCTCCTTTTTTTTTTTTTAAAGTAGCTGTCAACTCTGAAAGCTATTAAGAAAATTCAGCTGTGTCATTTTTCCTTTAAAAACCACCAGGACCAAGGGGTACTTTCATGTGAAAATCACCACTGCCTCTAAACACATGGCTATGAGGAAGTAATCCTAGATGATTTTTATTGCCATTAATCATTCCGAGGTGGTTTACATTTTGAGAGAAATTACAACCAATTCTCTTTGGGACAGTATTCCTTACTCACTGGAGTGGCTGGGGAGTTCCCCATATTAGGGACTTTTTTCCCCCTGTGAAGGTTGTGTATGTGCCTTTTTGCATTTCTGTTAACCATAGTTTTCCTATACATCCTAATGCCTCTCTTTTGTGCAACATCTTACTATTTTGGTGACACAATAGTGCTGACTTCCAAATATCAAACATTAAAGATTGTTACTCCCACACCAGGAAGAGAAGATTATAAATTGGATTAACATTGTGATTGTTTATGGAAAACAGTAGCTTTCTTCTGACAAAACTTTTGAAAAGATCTTTCCTGTCTGAACGGAAAGAAAACGATGACAAAAATTACATTACCCAGAAACAAAACTGTTAAAACAAAAGATGTCCTTTTTCTCCTGTCTGAAACAATGGGAGACTATTATCGAATTCCTAGGTTATCTCAGCAGAAAAATCTGCAAATAATGCTAAATTTGTCATGTGGTGTAGCAAATTTCAAAATTTTAAGTTAATATTACTTGGTTTGGCAATGAAATGTCTGCAAAAACACCAACAAGCTCAGAGACCATCCAGGACCCCACAAATTTTAAACTTCATTATAATATAGCGGTGCAGAGATGAATACAACACACACACAGGCACAGGTACACACAAAGCAATTTGAAGAGAAAACAATCCAGTACTATCAGCTTCCCATTTGTAATCTGCAAAGATGTCATCATCCGAAGTGAAAACTTTGCACTACAGCTTTAAGTGTTTAAGCCTTTGCTGCCCGTTGCTTAGCAACCAGGCATCCTTATCTAAACATTGCTTTTCAGCAGAGTCACGACTGACTAGTGGGGTTGCTAACGCAATTCAGAGAAAACATGTATTTTAGAATGGCCCGAGTCCTGGCCACATAGTATGGTGCTTGATGAAATTGCTACACCAGCCTTTTAAAAAGGTCTTTTGTGATTGATTTATTGCAACTCAAGAGTGCGACTGTCTGATGTGCTCCCTGCACTTTGCTCAGCAATATTTTCAGCAGTTTTTCTTCTTGGGGTTGGAAAAAAGCTGTCAGAATCCAATTATATTTCATCTTTAATTATCAAATATAGAAACTCCCAATTCTGCCTTCTCTGGATTCTGCCATAAGAGGGAGAGAAGGGGGAGAACAAAGGGGCTTTATGGCCCTCACTTCCTTCAGTACACTTCAAAGAGCTGAATGCTGAATGTTGTTTATTGTAACCAAAGCGTTAGCATACCAAAGAAGGGTATTTGCCTTTCATGTAGTTATCTGAAGTCTCCATCCAGACGGAAGAAAGAAGAAAGGGGGTGGAATTGTGATAATTGAA